GCATTTGGAATTTTTCCTTCCAGCAACATAAATACTTATTTGATGATCCTGTTACTGCCGGTAAGTCTTCTGATCATGTTGTAGGAGTGGAGAGGAMAATGTTTCCTATAATTTTGGAAAATTTGATGGTTATTAAAAGGGCTGTGACAGGGGCGGATTCAGGGGAGGGGATAAGGGGGAATTCCCCTTCCTAACCCCACGCTTTTTGTCACTTTAAGTCCTGTACCCTAGATTTCTRATTGTAATGTTAAAAGTTCACGCTTGGAAAAATATATTGTTAACTGTTTTTGAGTAATGTCAGTAAATGTTTTGGAACACTTAATTTGCCCCCAACCACCCCCTCTGGAAATTTCTGGATCTGCCCCTGGCTGATTCCCTTAATAATCTTAGCTGATACATTTTATGCATTGTAGCTGTTATGAGACAGAAAGGTGGATCAGCAGTTGTAGCAACAGGACGCAATATTGTATTTTTAGATTTAGAAGTAAGTCCATCTTAATATTCTTACATGTAAATTTATCCAAAATCTATAATAKGTTTTGATTGGCTATATKACYAGCTGCCAARCAATCAWTGWTATTTRGTGAGATCAGCATGCAACASYTTTRATGTAGCACTCTGACYCAAGCATAACAACAATTTATGCTGGCATGTGATTTTCCACCATAGCTCCTGCCTTACATGCAGTATTATGATCCATGTATTTTGAAATTGTCCAGTATGCAAAACAGACCACTTGCCTGAAGTGTTGTAGTTTTTGCCATATATCTATTCAATAGCTTTTTTTTCACTTAAGACAGACAAAAGAGAGGTAGTAGCTACTGTCCAAGGTAAGATAAAATATTTTACAAATTTCCAAATCTCAGATAAATTATTATCATCTCTGCAATATTACAGATGACAAGCCTAAAAACCGATTTAATGATGGAAAATGTGACCCTGTAAGTAGACTGGTGTTATTATTATATAAATCTATTGACTTTGGTTTGTTCCCTTTAAAACGACATCCAGCACATGAATAAAACATCAGGAATGTACAACCCTGATAACTGTACAATGTACAATTTAGAATGTATGTGACCTTTGTTTAATTTCCTTTTTGTCTTTTCTCTAACAGGCTGGACGTTTTTGGTGTGGTAAGTTCATCATAATTTTATCAAATAGTTTGTTGATTAAGATTTACATATTATTATTTTTTCAAGGTACAATGGGTCCAGAACCAGTTCCTGCTGTAGTTGAACCWGAACAGGGAGCTTTAGTAAGTGTGTGATACTTRCCAGTTGTCATTGTCCTGTGATAGAATGTTGTTTATCATAAGTACTGTGATCTTTTGACTGTAGACTGCTAATTAGTCTCCATCAGAAGAGCTGTTTTCCTCTTATTTTTGTATATCATTGATTTTTATTGRTTGGCAGTTTTCAATGGATGAAAGACAATCAGTTAAACTTCAAATGGATAAGGTACATGTGGTTTTATATTAATTAAATAATAGTTTATTAACTAAGAAATTAACCATTCATGGTCATACTAGCCTTCGTAGCTCTGAAAAATGTTTGAGGGGMTATTCAGGATTTTGGTCAGGGAAGAATGTAGTTGAGGAGGACAACAGGCCAGAAACAAGAAAAGCTTTGAATGAAAATATTATAATACAATTAAGTACATTATTAATGCTAAGTGGATTATAATAGGTTAATAATCAATCTTCCTTTTTATTTAGACATCTATCTCTAATGGCCTGGCTTGGAGTAATGATAACAAGACTCTTTACTTTATTGATTCAATTCCAGGGTAATGTAGTATGTAAAAATAAAATAATATAGCAGGCTGTGTCCAGGCTCACTGTACCTGCTTGTACCCTGCCATCTTAGACCCATGATACTCTGTCCTGACAAGAGAACACTGCACCTGGTGTTTTGCCTGTGTTTTTGCATTTGGAATGTGCATCCTATGTTCTATTAATATACTTCAAACTATACTAATTTAGGGGTTGTGAATGTTCTTTCAAAACATCCAGGTCTCGCAAAATTTTAGTTGAATTTCAAGAGTCTCACAGTTTTTTCTTGAAGCTGTCTTAAAGCCTTTTACCATTCGCTACCCCTTTATTTGTTGATAGCCAATATCATTGTCCTTACATATCAAATTATCATTGTGATGTCATATGACATCATGATGATGTCATATTGATCTATGGTTTTCACGCTTTTTTGGCTTTGAAGGGGGAGGGGGGTCACACAGGCATCCTGTGACCCCCCTGGATGCACCCCTGAATTGTCAAACACTAAAATGTATCACTACAGTAGATGTTTTCTTATAATTGTGGTTTTGTCTCTTTGAAGGTGTGTATACGCTTTTGACTATGATATGYCATCAGGCAACATTAGCAATAAAAGAACTATTATAAATGTGGATTCTTCTTTAGGAGTAAGTACAACATTGCAGTAAAATACACAATAGTTTTATTGTCAGTACTACAATACTTATTATGATGTATTATGTACATGTGCAATCATGATGCTCTTCATTAGGTCCCTGATGGAATGACTATAGATGTAGATGGGATGCTGTGGATAGCAATGTATGATGGCGGCAAAGTAAGTCAAATATCTCTACTGCACTTCATTAGAACAAAATATAGTTGTTAACCACCAGTGAAAGATGAATAAAATGGCAAAGTGACAGCCATTTGTTCAAATGCTTCAGTCCACTTACATGTAAATAAATGTTTGTAATAATACTTACAATGAAGATGGAGGGATAAGATCAGCACTGCCAAGATTGGCTTAAAATTCCCAAAWACTATCCAGGAAATTAAACATAAATTTTGTCACTAGGTTGTGCGTTACAATCCTTCAAATGGAGAAGTTCTACAAACAGTGCTTTTACCAGCTACAAAAACAACTTCTGTCTGTTGGTGTGGTCCCAATTATGATGAATTACTAGTTACTAGTGAAAGGTTAGTCAGTATAAATAGTTATGCACAATATCTTTTTTTTACATTAATGAGGCTTATTAAATGTTTTTAAGGATATTGATAAAGGACGATTTCATCATTCATTTTTAAAGAAACATTTGTTGGGTAATTCACTCCTAAACTCTAAGTTGACAGATGSCATCATTATGATTGTGRCACAAATGCAACCCCTAGTAATGCAAATCCCCAGTAGKATWAAGGCAACCATGGTAACATTMKACAGTCCARCYTCAAAGAGGTGAACATGCATTTAAAGAAGCAGTAAAAATGATTTTATTTTCAACTTCTTTGTACAGTGTACGTTTGTCACCCGAAGAGAAGAAAAAACAGCCTCTAGCTGGTTCAGTTTTTAAAATCAAAAACCTTGGGACTTCAGGACGACCAGATGTTCCATACAATGGCTAAATTACAATTARAATTATAATTTAGTAAATAGAGGCTTTTTTGGTGCCCATCATTTTTAGATAGCATACCTGATATAAAGCTTAACAAAGCCTCTTACATGGGAATGATAAAAAAAGGTAAATTAATTGTGTGTGCATAAATATAAAACCTCTTGAACAGCAAGCTTAGATGTTGGATTTTTTAAATGATAATTTTTTACAATAGGATAATTGGAAAATTATACTGTAGCTAATACAGTCGAAAAAAAAGAACAAAAAAAAAAGTTCTAAAAACTGATATATAGAATTTCAGATTTGAACAAAAAGGTAATCAGTTAGAATTATTCCATTCTTTATTTAATCTATTAATCTAGGAGAATGAATAAATTGCTCTACTTTATAATTCCCAGTTTTGCCTAGCATTGGAATAGGGAAATTACATTCGGAAAAAAAATCAAAATACTCAAAGTATATTTCATAATTCTGCACTAAGACACCACTTATTTGTTATAAGATGGAGCAATCCAATGTTGGTTATATGAGGGTTATTGCTGTCACTCTCATGAATCAATAATATAAAGTGAAAATAAACATAAATATTCAATTTTGTAAAGCTAACAAAATTTATAAAAAAAAACCCTCTGGTTTTCTTATTTTAGAGATTTTGGGCACAGTATGTAAAAATTTCAAAAGAAAATAAAAGCATTTTGTTGTTTTTACCATCTTTTTGAAAATACTATTTCCTAACATATCAACATCTTGTATAGTTAAATATTGTACCTATATTGCCTAGGCAAAACTACAGTTTTTAACTGTAAATAGTAAATAAATGGTCTTTCATGTGGCAATTGTTCAAATGTRGATAAATTGAAATYATAATTCTGATRATTCCAAGACTCGTTATGAATTTCGGAAAGGAGTGTTAACGTGGTCTGCCACGCCCTCTACCTCTACCCCTATGCCGTGTAGCTTTGATGTAGCCAGTGAAATTATCATTTAGAGGAAGATCTGGACATGGGTTGATAAGTAACTGACGGCATTGGCTYATCAACGTATKATGATGAAGCCTCTCAACAACTGAAACAAGGTCTGGAAATCTTTCCTCTGCAATGAGTAGTTGGTTGTTTGTTGTATCTTTCTAGAAAATACATWYYAKKAAYSKAAWTT